GAGAACTCAAAATACCAAATTGCAGTCAAATCTGTTGAAAAACCTGCACAAATTCGTAATTTTTGGTAGGAAGATTTGACACTCAATGAGAACTCAAAATACCAAATTGCAGTCAAATCTGTTGAAAATCCTGCACAAATTCGTAAAATATCGAATATTTGAGGTTTCCGTTATATGGGGACTATCCTAAAAAATGGACCAATATTGATAGTTTTTGGTAGGAAGATTTGACACTCAATGAGAAATTAAAATACAAAATTGCAGCCAGATCGGTTGAAAAGTGGGCTCAAAGTCCTTGCTACCCAATGAGGACTCAAAATACAAAATTACAGCCTGATAGTTTGTAAAGCGTGCTCAAAATCCGTAAAATATAGAATAGTTTAGGTTACCGTTATATGGGGACTATCCTAAAAAATGGTTGATAGTTTTTTGTAGCAAGATTTGTCGCCCAAAGAGAATTCAAAATACCAAATTGTAACCAGATCGGTGGAAAAAAGTGCTTAAAATCCGTTAAATAGAGAATATTGGAGAGTACCCTTATATGGGGGCTACTCGTAAAGGTGGACCAATATTGACAAACTTTGGTAGTAAGATTTGACACCCAATGAGAACTCAAAATACCAAATTGCAGCCATATCGGTTGTTCTTCAACCAAAAAATCAGTAAAAAATTATCGAATATTTGGGGTTATCGTTATATATACTAAAAGGAGTAGACTGAAGGGTCCCAACATCTTCGAACATGATCTAGATATAGTAAAAGTAGCACAATTTGCGTAGATTTTTCAAAAACCAATTTTTTTAATTCTGGCGAAGTTGTTGAATTTAAAAAAAAAAATATATTTTTCGAACATAACCAAGGCGTAGATTTTTAAAAACGTATTTTTCGATCAAAAAAAGAAAAAAGTTGTTGTTGGTTTTTTGTTTTTAATTTATGCAAACTAAAGAATAGTTTATTTTATTGTTCATCTTGTTGTTTGATGTTTTCCACATCTTTTTTTGTTTGTATTTGTTTTTTATATGATTTGTTTTTTTTTTTAATATTTCCATTTGTTATTTTGAAATGATTTTTTTCTGTTTTATTGATTTGTTTTTTTTTATTATTTAATAATTAATTAATTATTATACGAATTGGTTTACTAGTGACCAGATATAGTAATAATAATTAGTTAGTTGTTAATGCAGCAGCAGCAGTATTTTTTTTAATATTAACTAAACTAAAATATACCGAAAGAAAAAATAGACATTTTGGTTTGTTGTTGTTGGTTTTTTCACAAATAATGGAAAAAATTAATTAATAATTAAAGGATTTCTTCTTTTTCAAAAAATGAAAAAAAATATAATTAAATAATAAACAAAATAATTTTTTCTTTTAATTCTTGCTGGGTTGGGGTGGTTTTTGAGAAAATTATAAAAACAAAAATATAATTTTCTTTCATTATTTTCTTTTTTAAATAACAGAAAACACTTAAAATTATTTTAGGTTTTTTTGTTAATTGTATATTATAATAATATATATTATTTGTTGTTTTAAATTTTTTAATTAATTACTTTGTTTTTGTTTTGTTTTTCTTTAAATTAAAAAAGGCGGTGGTTTTTCTTTGAACAAATAATAATAATTATTATAATAATATTATTTAGTAATAATAATCAAGAGTAAATCATTGATGAATTACAAAGAGATATATATATATTAATAATATAATATATGTATGTATTTATGTGAATGAAAAAAAAATAATATTAATAATAATATTATTAATAAAATTAAATAATTATGTTCTGTTTTTTTTAAATTATCATTATTCCTAGTACATTTTTTTTGTTTGTAGTTTATGTTTTTGTTGTTGCTTGTTTGTTTGTTTAGGATTTTTGTTGTTGCTCTAGTTGTAATTATATTATATAGTATAGTATACTAATTGTTTATGGTTGTTTTTGTGTTGTTGTATTGTTGATTGATTTTTTTTATTTAATAATTTATTTATATATAGTTTTTTTGTTGTTGTTTGTTTACTAATGCTATTATTGGTTCTATTGTTGATGATTGATTTGTTGTTGTTGTTGTTGCAGCAATTGTAATTATGACTCACATAAACGAACGAACAAAACAAAAAAAATAATAATACATATTTATCTTTTAATTTGTTGTAGTTCTTTTTCTTCTTCCTCCTCATCTTCATTTGTTGTTGTTGTTTGTTAAAAAAAATTAACAAAAAAGCACACACTGGCAGCTGTTTAAAAATATCTAAAAAGAAACACAAAATAAATAAATTGATTAGATTCAATTAAAAAAATTTTATAAATCTGAACTAAATTTATCTTAAAAATAATTTTCGAACACTAGCCATAATTTCTGAAGATTAAAAAAATAGTACATATTTTTTGCATTCTAGACAAGGCTTAGATTTTAAAAATATTTTTTTCGAACAATGCATAGATTTTTTAAAAATATATTTTTCGAACACCAACCAAGCGGCAGATTTTTTAAAAATATATTTTTCGGATACTAGCCAAGGCGTAGACTTTAAAAAAATAATTTTCGAACACTAGCCAAGGTAAAGATTTTTTAAAAAATAATTTTCGAAAACTAGCCAAGGCGTAGATCAAAAGTAAAGTAGTAAATTCGGCCGGGCCGACTATATGATACCCACCCTTCACCATTTTGGGTATATTCAGCAGATGAATCCTAACAGACGTGGCATTTTTAAAGGACCAGTCATTCTGCAACCGATACTAAATTTTTCATTTGGTCAGATATAGAAGCTATATCTAAATCTGAACCGATTTTCATGAAACTTAACGCATATCACTCTAGACATTATTTAGTACGCTATGCCTAATTTGGTACAAATCGAAAGATATATAGGGACTTTGGTGGACCATTTACCTTAAATCGGACGAAAATATATATGGGAGCTATATCTAAATCTGAACCGATTTTCAAGAAACTTAACGCACATGATTCTATACCTAACTCATTACGCTGTGCCAAATTTCATATAAATCAAATGATAATAAGGGACTTTGGTACACCATTTACCTTAAATCGGACGAAAATATATATGGGTGCTATATCTAAATCTGAACCAATTTTCAGCAAACTTAACACACATCATTCTAGACCTAATTCATTACGCTGTGCCAAATTTCGTGCAAGTCGAATGATATATAGGGACTTCGGTTCACCATTTAAGTTAAATCGGGCGAAATTATACATGGGAGCTATATATAAATCTGAACCGATTTTCAGGAAACTTAACGCACATCATTCTATACCTAATTCATTACGCTGTGCCAAATTTCGTGCAAATCGAAAGATATTAAGGGACTTTGGTACATCATTTACATTAAATCGGACGTAAATATGTATGGGGGGACCTATATCTAAATCTGAACCGATTTCAATAAAACTTGGCACACCTTAGACTGTCCTAACTTCAGTACGTTGTGCAAAATTTCCTGTCATTCGGCCGAAATTTGCATCTTTGGTGCACAATTCACAAAAAATCGAACGAAAATATATATGGGAGCTATATCTAAATCGGAACCGATTTCAATAAATCTAGACTATACAAATTTCAGCCCATTGTGCAAAATTTCGTGTCATTACGTCTAAATTTGACTCTTTGGTGCACAATTCACAAAAGAATCGGACGAAAATATATATGGGAGCTATATGTAAATCTGAACCGATTTTAATAAAACTTGGCACACCTTAGACTTTCCCAACTTCAGTACGTTGTGCAAAATTTCGTGCCAATCGACCTAAATTTGACTCTTTGGTGCACAATTCACAAAAAAATCGGACGAAAATATATATGGGAGCTGTATCTAAATCTGAACCGATTTCAATAAAACTTGGCACACCTTAGACTGTTCTAACTTTAGTACGTTGTGCAAAATTTCCTGTCATTCGGCCTAAATTTGAGTCTTTGGTGCACTATTTGCTAAAAATCGGACGTAAATATATATGGGAGTTATATCTAAATCTGAACCGATTTTTCCCAATTTCAATAGGGTTTGTCCTTGGGCCAAATAAGTGACATATTCCAAATTTCATCCAAATTGGATCATAAATGCGACCTGTACTTTGTTCACAAAAATACATGGACGGACGGACAGACGGACATGCATAAATCGACTCAGAAAGTGATGCATATTCTCAAAAGGAACCATAGGTATATCTTGTTTCCTTTTGCATGTTACAAACATATGCCCAAAGTATCACGGTGTGGTAAAATATATTTATTTAAAAACATATTAATATTTAGTAAAAATAATAAAAAACTATAATAAATATATACAAAAACTAAAATGTAATAATACATATTTATATTAATCAAAAAACTAATTTTTATTAAACTTAAAAAAAATAACTTACCTTAAAATTAAATTGTTTTTTTATTTGCATTAAATTTTTGGCTCTAAATTTCACTAGATTATTAATTATGTGTTATAATTATAATAATTATATTTAAAAAAGTCGATTTGATTTCTTTGTTGTTTGAAACACACACATACAGGCACAGGGCGTTCTGTCTGTATTTTTGTTTGTTTTGCATGCATGTGGTGGTGGTGGTAAGTTGATTGATGGTGATGATGATGTGATTGGATTGGAGTTGGATTGAGTTAACTGAAGAGTGCCTTTTTGTATATGCTCCCAAAGTTCAAGACAGTTCCATCCATAAATTCATTTGATTTTAGATTTCAAATTACTCCAATGGTTATTTTGCAAGTATGATTTTCGTGGTTATTCAAACGGCTCGGATATATTAACCGCCTTTAGCAATGATTTGTTTTTCCTGCATTTGTTTGTTTTGGGAGATTTGTTTGGTATTCGCGGGGGGTGAATGATTTGTTTTCTTCCAAAATACATATTTTTTGTGTGTTTCTTCATATGTATATGTGTGTAGATAAATTATTTCACTATATATTCAATATATATATTTTTTAGTTTTCATTTGTATTTTGCTTTTGCTTAACTATTTTGTTTTTGTTGCTTTACAAATCTTCATCATCATCTTCAGGACCAGCTATAATTGATTCGTTGGGATCATACATAACCATATCATCGTCATCATCGGCAGCCGCATTGCCACCACCAACTAATGTCTCATCGGGATCATCGGCACCAAATTCATCATCATCATCACCGAATTCATCGCCACCAAATTTGGTACGTTTTCTCTTGGCATTGGGCATTTTGTCCAATGTATTCGATTTGCGTTTCGTAATGCCGGGGAAATCATCGTCCAGCAACACCTTTTCAACATCTTCAATATCTTCGAATGTGGCATTTTGCAATTGTTTCAAACGCAATTGTTCCAACTCCTCGGGTGAACGTTTCTTACGGAACTCGTAGACAAGCGGGAAGATGTGTTCAATGGCATTTTGAACGTGTGCAACACTAGCAGCTGTGTGGGTTGGAGAAGATAAAAAGAGAGAATATCAAATAAATACATGTGTTTAATTCAATTCAATATAAATAATTATTATGATTTTAAAAAATTTGTAGTACCCAATATTGGTTCACGTTTTAGTATAGCCTCCACCATAAGGGTAAGGGACCCATAAATATCGGTGCTCGTTTTGGTATAGCCTCCCCATTACAGTTCTTCCCAAATTTCGATATTTTAGAAGATTTGTGAATTTTTTACAAGCAAATTGTCTATAATTTGATATGTTGGATTATCATGGGGTACCAAATGATCATACCAAATATTATCAATATCGGTCCACATTTTACTAAAGCCCTCACAATACCATAACCTCAATTTACGATATTTTTGGTATTTCAGACGCCCTTTTCCAACCGAGTTGGCCTTAATTGAATATTTTGAGTTATAATTGGGTGTAAAATCTTCCTAGCAAAAATTATCAATATCGGTCCATGTTTTGATATAGCCTCCCCATTACGCTTCTTCCCAAATTTCGCTATTTTGGAAGATTTGTGATTTTTTTCAAGCCAAATTGTCTATAATTTGATTGGGGGTTGGGTTATTATTGGATGCCAAATGATCATACCAAAAATTATCAATATCGTTCCACATTTTACTATAGCGCCCACAATAACATAACCTCAATTTTTGGTATTTTGGGGATTTCAAACTTCCTGTTCAACCGAGTTGACTATAATTTGATATTTTGGATTATCATAGGGTGTTAAATCTTCCTAACGAAAATTATCAATATCGGTCCACGTTTCGGTATTGCCCCCACGTAAGGTCACTACCAATTTTCGTATTTTAGGTCCATTTTCCAACCAATTTTCTTCTGACAGCTCGATTTTTGGTATATTGAATATATAAATGTATTGAATGCCCCTTACCAGTAACTGTAATACTGCCGGTTGAGAATATCTTCAATGTAGCTTTGGGATAACGTAGCTTATACGTAACACCTGGATGCAATTCCGGTTCATAACTGGCAGCTTCACGATATTTTTCCGAGAAATTAACAATTTTAATTGCCCATGGCATACTGCATGTGCCCAAGACGTTGACAACACGGAAATTGTGGAATCGGGCACGGAATCCCAGTTTTTCCAAGGTGCGTGCATAACGGCGTGCTGCAATTTTGGCCTGCCCAAAGAAGAAGAAAAAAGAGATTAGTCTATTTTCTCTCACATTTAAAGGAAAAAATGTATAACTTACCTGCTCCTCCGATGTGGCACCGGTACATGTTATCCGTCCCGATGACCATATGGATGCTGTGGTATATGGTCGCCTTAATTTCATTGTGACCATACCATTTTCACGACGATATTCCACATTGGCACCGTTCAAGGCAATTTCACGTAAATTCAGATGACAGCGTACGCTGAAGGAACATACAACATTATTGATGACAATATCAATTTCGGGTTCAGGTTCGGCTTCGGGTTCAGCGGCGGCGGTGGTGGCAGCTGCATCTGTTGCAGAAGGTGTGGTGGTGTTTGTTGTCTCCGTGGTACCATTGGTTAATTGTGTGGCAGATGAGTCCGTTGATTTAACCAAGGCGCCTTGTGATGATGCGGAAGAATTGTTGTTTGTTGCTGCTGCTGTTGTTGTGGTGGTGCTGCTGGTATTATTAGATGATGTAAATAAGGAAGCTGTTGAATAGCATGATCCATAGGTTGTGCCATATGTTGATGAGGAGTTGGTGGAATAACCAATGTTGTTGTTGTTGTTGGCCATAGAAGTATTGCTAGCTGTTGTGGTGGTGCTGCTATAATTTTGGTTTACATTGTTGCTGTACGATGATGATAAGGATGAGGGTGTTGTAATATAACTGTTGTTGTTGTGATTAATTGATGCTGTTGTGGTTTGTTGTTGTTGCTGTTGATTGTTATGAATAATATGGCCATTAGGAACTAATTTTGAGGCGGGTTGTTGTTGTTGCTGAAGATTATTTGGATTCTTATTAAATGTGTTGCTGTTGTTGTTGTGATTGCTGTGGTGTTGCTGCTGCTGTTGTTGTTGTGTATTAGTATAGTGACCATTCATTTGATTTTGTGGTGTTGTTGTAGTTTGTTGCGTATAAGAAGTTAGGTGGTTGGCGACAGTGCCTGCAAATGATGATGCTGAAGTGCTGGTTGATAGGGCGGAGGAGGATGTTGTGATAATTGAATTTTGTGTTGCATTGTTTCCAGCTGCTGCTGAGGCGGAGGATGTTATTGGTTTCAATAGCACAGCTGAGGTGGTCCTGCTGCTGCTGTTGGGAGCCAAGGTAACAGCATTTATTTGAGTTTTCGAATTTAGAAATTGATTTTTGGTTAAATTGCTGTTATTCAAAATAGTTGTTGTTGTTGTGTTGGTGGTGGAGTTGGAGGAGGTGGCTGCTGCCGTTGCTATATTATTTAATATAGTGGCACGTTGTGGTATACCTTGAGTTTTAATTATTTTCACTTGTTGTTGCTGCTGCTGCTGTGGTCTCAATTGTTGCAGATTGGCGGTGGTTATGGTACCGAAACGCTGTTGTTGTTGCTGCTGCTGCTGTTGGGGCAAGTTGGCAGTTACAGTCCTAGTGGCAGTTGCCTTTGTTGTTGTTGTCAACAATTGATGTTTGTTGGCATTGGCCACTGTAATCGGCGAGCCTTTAACAACATTTATGATTTGCCCCTTGCCGGCGGCAGCAGCATTTAGCACCTGTTGAGTCTTAATTAATGTGGCTGGAATGGCCTTGCCACCGGCCGTATTCAAAATGGTGGCATGTTGCAAACGTTGTGTGGCATTGCCAGCAATAATTGTATTATTGTTGCGATTTATTAATACCGTTGTACGTTGTTGTTGCTGCTGGTTGCCGGTGGTGGTGGTGACGGCGGCGGGTTGTTGTGAGAATTGTGAAAAGTGACGTATGGTGGTGGTGGTGTTGGCTGCTCCACTTGAGGAGGACGAGGAGGTGGTAATCAAACGTTGTTGTTGCTGCTGCTGTTGCTGCAAATAGCCAGCTGAGGTAACAACAACACCATTATTGGTTGCACCACCGCCATTTATGTGCTGCTGCAATTGCTGTTGGTAGGATGATGTTGATGCGGACGACGCTGCTGAGGTATTTGTTAGCAAAAAGGTACCCGATGTTGTTGCCGCCGCCGACGACGATGAGCTCGTGTTAACGCTGTCAGTGATAACAGCCAAGCCACCATTACTGGTACTCACCACACTGCCAATCGGTACATTGACTACATTTTGTGAAACCAATACACGCTGTTGCTGCTGCTGTTGTTGCTGCTGCTGCTGCGCCAACAATTGCTGATATTGTTGATAGGTAATAATTGTTGAGGCCCCCGTTGCACCATTGGTAAGCAAAATGGTTTGGGTGGGGCTAGGTATCACCATGTTAGTGATAGCACCACCAGCGGAACCAACCACCGAATTTGTAGTTGTGGCCACGATGTTCGATGCGGAGCTACTAACAATCTGATGATTGCCAGCAATTTGTTGATTGGCTGATGTTAGAAATGTGGTATTATGGTTGTTGCTGTTGTTGATGCCTGTGCTTACAACATTGCCACCAACAATAATGTGTTGTTGTTGTTGGCCACCAGTTGTTGCTGCTGCTGTTTGTCCCACCAATGATTTCATGCAATTTTTATTGTTTTGCAACAATGTGGCCATACCAATGTTGCTGCTATTGCTAATATACATTTGTTGTGGTTTTGTTGTTGTTGCTTTAGTTTTTCTTTAAATTTTCAATGGAAAAATTAAAAAATAATGACAACTTTCAGAAGAAATAATGAATAAATTGTGATACAGCTGTTTGTTTCCTTTGTTCTCTCACTGTCACTCACGATCTCTCTCTCACTCGTTCTCTTTGAAGTAATAGGCGGGGGAAACAAGAAAAGAATTGATTTGTTGTTTATGATATGATGATTGCTTTGCTTTGTTTTGATGAAATGTTTTTGTTGTTGTTGTTTGACAAATAGAAATTTGGTTTGATTTGGTTTGAAGTTAGGCGACGACGACTTCCTGCTCTTCTTCCTCTTCTTTAAATAAACAAAACAATGTTCTGAGACACTGTGGTTTTTGATATTCCTGTTGAGTTTAGAAACATTAGAGTTTGTTTGTTGTTGATTCTGGGTTGTTGCTGCTATTCTTGTTGTTGTTTTTGTATGTTGTTGTTGGTTGGTATTATTTAGAGTTCAAGTCTTTCGTTTCTTTCTCCTTAGGGGGGTTGTTTTTATTTGCTTTTTGTTGTTGTTGTTTTTGTTAAATATAGTTATTTTTGTTCTTTTGAAACAGTCTGCAATGAAAAGAGGAAAAGAAAAAAGGAATTAGCAAAATTCAAAGGAAAAAAATTAGTAAATAATAAAAGTGAAAATTCGAAATATCTATATACTAAATATTTATAAAAATAATATAATATTTAAAAGTTAGAATTTATAAAAACTTTTGATTTTTTTTTTGCTTTTTAATAAAAAAATGTTTTTGAATATTTTTATTAGACTCTAATTAGGCTCACTTGCCATGGACATTTGTCATGAAAATTTTAAAATTTTTCTAAATGTTTTTTTTTTTTTTATAAAAAATAAAATTTATTTTTTTAATATTAAAATAATTTATAAATAACTAGTATTAATTTTTTCTTCTAAAAAAATATTAAACAAAATAACATCTTAAATTTTGTTCCAATAAAAATTTTATTGTGTATGATAACAACGCCGGCGGTCACAACATAAAATATATGCCCCCACCCACTCTGCATCCTATAAACAACATCCCAGCATTGTTTATCAACAATTACCCTAATAGAAACAATTTATTTACTTAATCGATTTTTATAATAATTTATGTAAGCACACATTGTCAGACAAACACAAATTACAATAATAATACTCCAATATATACAGTGGTGGCCACAGAATTAAAACATTTACTGTGGTAAACATTTTTTGGTCAGCCCTCGATTCGTTTGAAGTATTTTTGAAAATTTTTTAATTCAGAACACTTCGATATACTGCACTCAAGAGATTTAGTGTGAAAATGGAAAATTATTTCATGCAATTTTTCCATAAATAACGGTTTTTATGAAAATACATCGACTTTGAAGTGGCCATATAATTAAAACATTGTGTGATTTTTTACTTGACTGCATTTTTTGAAAATATTTTTTTAAAAAAGCTCTATAATTTAGTTAAATTATGTAAACTAAGCACCGTTAAAATCATTTACTGATAAAATTTTTCGAAAAAATCTGTAAAATCTATCAAAAATGCCAAAAATGTGTTCAGTACACCTTACATTCAGAAAATAACCCTTATTATAGAAAATAAAGGTCCGAATGCACCAGAAATTGCTAGAATTAGTAGAAAACAATAAATAATTCTCAAAATAAATAAATATTTGAAATAATAACTCAAAAAAATGGGAATTAACTTAAAGGAACGATTCAACTTCGATAGCCTTTATTGAAGAAGGCCGGAATATTTTTGCAGTATGTGAGGAAATATCGATTGATATTGGCATTTATTATATCAAATCGGTTGTTCGAGTAGTACAGAATATATTTCATCAAAAAAATTATCAGTCACAACAGAACGAACAGAGATCAACACCTATGTTGACGAGAAAACGTTTCTGGTACACAGCATCATGTTTGATGGTTAACTCTTGACCCTTAAAATCTATTGAACATGACAATATTTTTCCAAAATAATATTTTTTGAATAGAATAATGCCCATTTAATCTATTTTAGCCTAAATGAAAGACAAATTTTACAATTTGACAAATATTTAAAGTCTTGAGTTGAGCATCAAAAATGCTGCTGTGTGGCAGAAACTTTTACTCGTCAACCTAGGTGTTGATCTCTGTTCTTTCTGTTGTGACTGGTATATTTTTTGATCAAATATATTGTGTACTACTCGAACAATCGATTTCATATAATAAATGCCAATATCAATCGATATTTCCTCACATACTGCAAAAATATTCCGGCCTTCTTCAATAAAGGCTATCGAAATTTAATCGTTCTTTTAGGTTAATTCCAATTTTTTGAGTTTTTATTTCAAATATTTATTTATTTTGAGAATTATTTATTGTTTTCTACTAATTCTATAAATTTCTGGTGCATTCGGACCTTTATTTTCTATAATAAGGGTTATTTTCTGAATGTAAGGTGTACTGAACACATTTTTGGCATTTTTGATAGATTTTACAGATTTTTTCAAAAATTTTTATCAGTAAATGATTTTATCGGTGCTTAGTTTACATAATTTAACTAAATTAAAGAGCTTTTTTAAAAAATATTTTCAAAAAATGCAGTCTAGTAAAAAATCACACAATGTTTTAATTATATGGCCACTTCAAAGTCGATGTATTTTCATAAAAACCGTTATTTATGGAAAAATTGCATGAAATAATTTTCCATTTTCACACTAAATCTCTTGAGTGCAGTATATCGAAGTGTTCTGAATTAAAAAAATTTCAAAAATACTTCAAACGAATCGAGGGCTGACCAAAAAATGTTTACCACAGTAAATGTTTTAATTCTGTGGCCACCACTGTATATATTTTTCACAATAAACATATTTCATAGTAAATGTTAATTAACAGTCAAATGTTAATTGATAAAATGGATACAACAACAAAAAAATAAAAAATAAACACAAGTAATAATGCAGCAGCATCAGCAGCGCCAGTAGTAGAGCATATGAAGGTCCAAAACCAAACTATTTTTTCTATAAAAACATACATATATACACACACACCCAAATATATATAGATTTTATGCAACAATTATTATAGTTTTATTTTCTTACATATATATATTATTTTGTGTGTCATGCTACATATCTGTCCATTTGAACTACTTTAAAGTCAAGTCTGACCCCAATAATCTATGTAAAATGTACACACACACACTTGCATCAAATCAAATGCATGCATGACAGGCAGGAGAGAGAGAGAGAGAGAGCGTGCGAGTGCTCGCCTAAGATGGCGAGAGCCAGAAGAACTGTATTCTGTTTGTTTGTTTTTGTTTTATTTCTTGGCCGACAAAACCAATTTACTATGAGCATATGTGTAATGTGTATATATGTAATTATTAAACATATAGACAAAAAAAAAACAACAAAAACAAAAAAACCCAAGTCAATAAGTCGATTCTATAATTCTCAACATAACAACAAGTGATTTTTTACACATAATTTGTAAATAGGCAGAGGCATTTGTGTATCGGTATATATTAGGTTGGAGTGGGGGTGTGTGGCGGAAAATTGAAGAGAACGAAATAAATTGCATTTTTGTTATTTAACAGATTACTATTTGAATTTTATTTATTTAAGCGAATGATTATTACTTTTAATACTCATACGCCCCTTAAGACTTAAGGTGAATACACACTATCAACAAGATCCAATAATAATGTCACCCAGCAAGCGAAAGTCAGCTGTCTTTTTCTCAAATCTAATGTCAAAAATTTGGATAACGGATTTTGACAGCAAATGAAACAGCAGCTGTTGTACAGCTGATCTCCCTGGATGACCACTGTTGCTGATTCGGTCCATGATCTCTCATGGATTTCCATTTTCAAAATCTGGCCGCCTTAATTATTGTGAATTGACTTTCATTATGAAAACATAAAAAACCAAGTCCAACTTTTTGACATTAGTCTTGAGACTTTTGGTTGTTGGGTGACATTATTAATGGATCTTGATAATAGGTACCCACCTTAAGTCTTAAGGGGTATTAACAATAATAATATGAGTATTAACAATAATAATCATACGTTTTAATAAATAGTAGATCGAAATACGACCATGTCAAACTATTGGAAGGTTGCCAGATTTTATAATAGCTATATAATTAATATAATAATAAAGCTATCACTTTGATACCCTTTTGTACGCCATGCATCCATGAAAATATTCATGGTTGTTGGACCGAGTCAGTAACAGTGGTCATCCAGGGAGATCAGCTGTACAGTTTATATCCAGCTGATCTCCCGGGATGAAAAGGGCTTGCCCACCATCAGTTTTCACTTTAAGGGTTCTTTTTTTTATCGATTACTAAAATTCTGTCCAACAACCATGAATATTTTAATATAAGAATGGCGTCAGTTGATAAAAAGTGATAGTGTGTAGACAGCTTTATTATTATATTAATTATATAGCAGCTATTATATATTTGCCAAACCTATTCTAACACCGAATAGTTTGCAGAGAAAATCTCTCTTTTTCCTGTATGGTAGTATTTCGATCTACAAATCCCGCATTAGAATTATACAATACTTGTCAATCAGCTGATATTTGTTTACATTATATTATTTAATATTGCAATATTAATAAATATTACTTCTAATATGTTTATACGTCACACCCTAATACAACTGCATATATAAATACAGAATTTTGTAAAAATTAATTTTTCATTGAACTACTAAACTAAAAACAAACATTAAATGGTGCTAATTTGAGAACAAAATGTACAGAAATCCAAAAAAAAAGTACACACACAACAAAAACAAATCAAGCAAATTCATTATTGACTCTATGTGACGTCTGGCTGTGTTGGAGAGTCAGTCTAGTAGGTTAACTTTAAGATTGTTACTTTTAATACTCATACTCCCCCTATACGACTTAAAGTTGAGTACACACTATCGGTTTGGACTGTCAACTTCTTTCCTTGTGTCCAACAACCATGAATATTT